TATCCTGGATTCGTTGATATTTTACAATTATGTAGTTATTTTGACGATGTAAAAAATTGTTTTCAGGACGTTTTGGAGAAAGATGATCATTGTTATTGAATTTTTCAAAAAACGAGCCTATAGGTATACCTTTAATTACGGCAATCGATATATTTTCTTTATTTCCTATACAAAAATTAAAATACTTGCGTTTGAAAATGATTAACTTAAAAGATTTTATTTTATCTCTAATTTTGTAGAACTTATCGCGTGAAAGATTAGAATGACATAAATATTAATGTATTCAAGAATGAACGAAATATTTTGTATACTCATATTTACTCTACTTACTTTTCAAGAAGCTTCTTGCTTATTTATTAAATTCGTCTCTTTAAATTTTTACAGTCTTCAATGTATCTACTATTCAGTGGATTACAATTTAATTACAGTTAATCAAAATATAATTACAGTGAGCCACCGTAGTAAAAATTAATAATTAGTGTTTTTTAATGATATACATTCTGCAGTGTTTATTAATAGAAGTATATAACGTAATAATCGAGCGTTTTATTGATATTACGTGGTTAATTAAAAAATGACAGTCCATTATAATACAAATAAAAATATACGCAAATCGAATTGAATAATTGCGAAGATACAAATATATGTGTCTAATTACAGTTCTTCGATATTTCTCGTTCAACGTTTAAATTAGAACTATAACCATGTTTGGAAAGTCGAAGAACTACAGTGAAACGCTTTCTGAGAGCTTTCATAATGTAACATTGTTGGTATGAATCTGCGAATTGAATTAACGTTAGGAAATTGATCATTACGAGATCAAAAGCAGGTGCGCAAATCGTGACCTAGTTACCAGAAACGATCTAAAAACTGTCTGTCATCTGTCTCTATAGCTGTTATAGACCAGCACTCACGAGTCAATTAGAACCTGAGTGTGAAGCTTACGAGTCCTTAATGAAATGATGATCTGCGTCCGTCATTTTCAACGTTTATCAATTGATTTACTAAAGCAAATAGGTCAGAGTCAGAGTATTTCGTTCTTTGCTAAGAACGTTGAAAATATAATATGTTTAATTATCATCAGTATAAGAAATTTTGATATAAAATCTGCATAAAGTCCAACATTGTGCTTTCAACTTTTCTTTTCTACGTGGGAATCTTGACAATTGAAGAAATAAGAAATTAATAAAAATGTTTGTTATCGTTGAACATACAACGAAAGGATTCTAAATTTGCATAAAGTCCGAAATTGCATTTAGTTTCTTTGAATGTTTGATATATTATAATTTTCATAATATTCGATACAAATCAGAGATAAGAACTATTAATCTTAATTATTAAAAGTATGTGAAATTGTTAGGGTTGCAGTTATAAGACTTGAAGAAAAAGAAAGTATTCAGGATAAATTAAAATGATATGTAAATACATAGATAGCGTGTGCGTACATTAGTTCATTAATAACAGGAAAGATTTTATCGATATTGAATATTTCATTGTGAGGCAATTAAAATAATAATTTTTCAACTTAATATCAAGTCTGTCTGCAAACATTCGATATTGATTACGTATGCAGTTATTGATTTTTTTTACATTGAACATGCAACCGTGTTTCATATAGTGATGGAGTATCTGAAGATTCTCGACACGTCCTACCAGTAAAATCAATAATTCTAGCTTAGCTTGTAAAAAAGAGGAAAACTATTGAAACATGAAAGTGATATTATTTTAAAAACTAGGTCAAATGTGATATATATGTGCATTTAATGTGATTTTATAGTATATCTGTTTCTGTATCATATAAGTGCTGAATTTTTGTCTTAATAGAATAATATAGATAAAAGGAGAGGATAAACATTTTTTAGATAAAAATAATAGTAATAAATTATTATTTGCTCTATTTTTATATGCCGTTATACATTATTTGTCGTATGATGTAAACCAATTTTTAATAGAAAAAGTAAGATACTATTTAATAAAAGGATGAAGACGTTACACAGGAAACAAATGATTTCTTAAAGATGATGTTCAATATATCAATGATTGAAAATAAATCAATAAATATACTATTGTTGTATCTACTGTTGTTGCATTGTTATGCTGAAAAGGTAACTGCATATTGCGTACAACATTCTCAACAACGACTTTACTAAACTTTAAGGGTAATATAGTGGCAGATAAAACAGGCAATAACATTCTGATAAATGATTCCATTTATTATGTGCATTTAGAATTATTCTAAATTAGAACTTGAACTATTTGATTAAAACTACCCTAAATTAGGATTTGAGCTATTGAATTGGAACAATTCCAAAAAATGTATTCTGTTAAATATTTAGAAATTATCTCCTTCTATAGCAAGTATCTCCTCTAGACGAGTTCCTTTTTTTTAAAGATTATTGGACGTTCTTCAAAATTAAATTCCTTTTTTCCTTTATTTCCAGATACTAATTTTTCTATTCGCTACATTAGCTTTAAGTCTATTATTTTTAAATAGAGCCATAAGTACATATAGACTTTGTATAGACTTTATAAACCCTCGAAGTTTATAATAATTCCAGAATTAAAACTTTCGTAATATGCATTCGTAGTAACAAAAAGATTAGATTTTCCATATACTTTCAAATGAGACCTAAATTTTGTGAAACGTTTCATCTAAGCTATTTATTTTCGTGCCGCAAAACAGACGTTTGTTCAATATTCGATCGAATTTACCCTGAATCTTTTTCAACGACTAAACTTTCGCTTGAAACTTCGCTTTTCAGACTGATATCACTTATGTATAACATTACTGAGGAAAGTAAGTTTTAAAACTTCACACGTTCGAGCCTGTGATCATGTAGTACAGTCTTCCTTTTTTAAAGGATTTACCATGACTCCGGGGAAACTTTTTAAGTTTCAATATGTAGAGAACAGAAATAAAGGATGAATATTAAATTATTAAATAATTTATTCAATATACACGTATAATAGAATCACGCGATTTTATGATGCTATTTTCGTTTTATTTCGGGTTTGATATTTCCACTGTCATGATATAATGTATAAACTAATTCAAATTGTTATTAAAAAATGTACATTGCCGTTCAGAAGTTCACGTAAATTGTATTTTTATTATGATACCTCTTTTATAATATCGATACCTTATTTTCTCAAGGCAACGCTGGAACGAAAAATGTCGAAATAGTTTCAGATGAAAGCTTTACGAAAAAAAAGCAAATTGGGGTCTGAGAATAAATCTTTTTATTTGTTTCTTTCCCTTAAAAAAATCGAGGTAGCTTGGAAATTTATAAAATATGGATTTAACTACTTGATGAATTTTACCATACGTTGTGCACTTCAAGTAACATGTAAATTAATTGAATTCCTTAAGATGTTGAAAGCTGTCTTATTGCATACTGACGATTACCATAAACGATGAATATATTCGTATATACGTATACATATATATATATATATATATATATATATGTATATATATATATATATATATATATATTGTGTATACATGGAGAGTACAACTGAATCAGTATACAATATATAACTATAGATTTCAATGATAGAAACACTCTACATAAATAATTCTTTAAAGTTGTAAATGTTTTTCTATATTTCTAAGATTGTACAAAAGTAACAGCGTACATACAATCTCCATAAAATATAGTTAACGCTAAGCATATTTTTTCGTCATACTCGAATCTCTTATTAAAAAAAAACACATAATGAATGTCTCGCTAAAACCTCATCCAAGCTTTTCAAATTCAAGCAACTTGAGAGCATTTCAACAGTTTGAACCGGTTATTTAACTTGAAATATTATTTCAGGTTTCTATCCTTCTTGCCATTAGTCAATTCGCTTCGCTTGAAATCATTTGGGTTCGTGTAACTCGATTAATCTGAGCAACGCTTAAAAACACAATGACTGGAAGAAATAGCTGCGCACACTTTTATTCTCTAACGAGGCGCATTTTCACCAAGATCCATACGTTTCATTTTCGTAGTATCAAACTTTTGTATACGTCGTATGAAAGTATTACTAAATGATATGAAATTTCACCTAATCAATTAGTATTTAAATGCATAGTTTTAGTTTATTTACTCACAAACGCATCTACATCTGAGGTTCAATAACAACTACGGTCGTATACGATTACATTTTCATAGGTTTATACAATATCACATTAAATTACTATTATACTATTGTTTGGTCATAGATATGTACGATATATAAATTGTATTAGTGAGCATAGTTAAATACCTAAAAAACATGTCAGTTGTAGTAAATTCAGTTACTTCTCTGCGGCTAGATTAATTGAAAAATGTTTGTGTTCCTTTTATTTCTTCCTTCTTATTTAGGGTCGTTTTGACGTTACTTGGGACGCTGTGTTGTTGTCTTTCGTTTTGAAATTTAGAACATTCAACTAACAGGCAAAAAATATTTCTTGCATGTCATATGACAATAATTTTTGTATATGTTACACGTGAGCGCTACTGAATGATACGAAGCCTAATCTAATTAAGTACTATGCAAATGCTACAATAACGTGCAAATACATTTTGTAGCCACAAAATCATATCTACCAACATGTAAATATCTACCATATGTACATATATACATGAATATATATTAGGTTGTCCGAAAAGTGTTTTTCTTTCGCAAGCGTGTTTCTTACAACAGTGAACCTTCATACAAACCAAATCTGTGAAATGTCGCGGTATTTATCTCGATAGAACAAAATGGATCGTACGTAATTCGACAAAATTTTCGACGTCTATTATTTCTTCATAAAACGAAAGGAACTTTTCGAACAACCTAATATATATATATATATATATATATATATGTAACTTGCTTGCAATATTTCCTTAATTTATGATGTACCTAAACGAATCCTCGAATTCGAGAACACCACTGACCTACAAATCGCTCGAATTCGTCCCTCCATTCTATCGATCTACACACTGACCTAAACGACCTGACAATTTCTCTGATGATGTCGACAGAAGCTTTGGAGGATGGGTTCCCGAAGGAGCGGTTTCAGCGGGAGCCGGGCGAACGCTGGCGTTCTGAAGGAACGAGCCAGCATGTCGTTCATGCTGGTGGTCATGTTCTTCGCCGTGTTCGGTTTGATCGTCTTTACGGAGATATTCCTGATCGACGAGAGGCGTGGCGGGGGCGTAGGTGGCACCGGGGCCCTAGGAGGTCACAGGAGTGGACATCGATTGCCGGCTGCGCCCGATCGTCCGGATTACGGGGAAATCGGAGTAAGTACGCAATTAGGACCATCTGTATCCACTTGATTAAACTTCGCTATTGCTCCATATGAATCTCATACTCTACAGGGTGTTTCGGAAAGTTGGTTATCAAACGTTAGGAGCGTGTAGTACTCATGGAAACAAGGAGAAAGGGCATAGCGAATGTAGTGAATGCAATTGTCATTAGTTTTGGAGTTATAAGATGTTTCGCAAAAGGAAAATATATTACGCATTGGGCTGTTGGAAAAATTTGTGGCCTACTTGGCAGTTAATGCCGCGAGAAAAAGGTACGATCGAATGAAATGCTGAATCGTGATCCTGATGGCATAAGAAGAGTCTGATACACTGGAAAAATGCAATTTAAGAGAACAATCCGAAATTCGTTAATTAGTTTTGCATTTAGAAAGTTCTGTATTTATCAAGGTAATTAGGGGCTTTGTGTGGCGGTGAAAAGCGTCTGCTTACTTTTAGACTTTTAGTCTAAAAGCATCGAACTTTGGCTGGGATGTTCAATTCCATTCATTGGATATAACATACTCACACTGATTCTAACTTTCGTTTTAATTACGGGCAACTGAATGCTTCAAGAAAGAACGAAGAAACTCGTCGCTGAAAAGAATAATAAGTTTCTTTTTTAAATGGCACCATAGAAAGGAACAAGAAATTCGTTGTATTATTTAATAGAGTATCCAATTTCTTTAGAAATTTAATTTCGCAGCAACGTTTTCCAACAAGCCAGTACTCGGATATATTGCGTGATAAGAAAATGACGATCGGTTATAATATAATTTACTCCATACGGTAACATGGCAGGAACTGATTTCGATCTTGCGCAGTCTCGAAAGTTATCGTTATCTTAATAACCTAATCTCGCGAAGATTTTTTCATGCAGTAGAGTCTCCTGTAATGTTACAGGCTCGTAGCTGAAAGCGTCTTATAACTCCGGAACTAACGATGTTTCGACTCGTGTTTATTAAGACGACTTTGCCTGCCTGTTTCAAAGCGTACTGCTTACACGCTCCTGAAATTTGATACCAACTTTTAGAAACACCCTGTGCATTTAACAGCCGCACCGTTGAAATAAATGTCGGGAGAAAATGGGCTCGGTCGTTTCGGACCTGGTACGCGAGCAGGTCCTCGCGATTAACCGAGCCGCGATTCGTTTAACGAATTATTTACTATCGTTCGATGGACCGTTTTCACCAATCAACGCTATTTATTTCCGTTTTGTTAACCGCTTTATTCGTCGTTAGTCGTATGCAAATATTGATCGGATAATGGAGTAGAGGGTGGTATTCCTAGCAAAGGGAAGAAAAAGCGGAAAATAGTTCACCCTTATTTGATCACCGATCGCGGTGGCACGACCGTTCGTTTCTGATGATTTGAATATGTATTTAATCGCTACTGTGTCGGGACCACAGGCAAACAGCGGTGATTTCGGCACAGATTGTCCGATAAAATAAATAAGCGTCACATGGGATAAACATATTGATTTTCTGATTTAACGACGATTCGCCTTGATGGCTATGAGAGAGTATTTTAACAGTTGAAACGGGACGAAGTTGCGGAGGAAACGACCTCTTAGGTTCGAAGATATAAATCTCATATTATAGACTAAACCTATAAGGTTTTTGTGAAGTATCAAAGACGTAGTAATGACAATTAATGTCCTTGAATTTTCAAGATAAAAAGGATATGTATTCGACCCTAAAATTAAATGTACAGTGATACGAATTTGATCGACAATGTAGTAAGTTTAAAAACCTGGTTTTCGCAGAAAATAGAAGATTTTGATCATCGTACTTCTTCTTTGTAGTTTTCTAATAACGGGCATATGCTACGATATTTTACTAATAAGTTTATAGAGGATTTAAGGGAAATAATTTTCTCAGAAAATTCGCCACCAAATTCTTGTGATTTCAAGTGATGATTAAATAATAAATGGTAAATGGCTGCCATTTTTTTTTATTATAGAATTTATTTTATTTCATCCTTTAGGAAGTTTCATCATGCATTTAGAATCAGTTTGAAATGTATTATACTACATGTGTTTTACTAATATTTACTTAACTTAACTCTTTATCAATATGTTTAAGTGCTTATGCTTTTTTATTTCTAGCACACCTCAATAATCGATAGATGATCAATATAATAGAGTTTCTTTTTTGCAAGTTTCTATAGTAACAATGAGTTGATCTACGCTAAATATTTGTTCGCTTTCGATGTATATGTATAATGCAATAATAATTTAGTTCAGTAAAACGTACATACGATTGATGGTAGAAAAAATCACAAATTAATGCAGACGCGTTCGCTTTTCTAAGTTTTCAATAAAATTCGCACGACAAATTGTTTCCAATCGATCAGCATTCTTTTTCACTGACTGCTCTAACGCTCCAAATAAACGTGTAACCATTTATTGTGATTACATTCGATAATTCATATTTTTCAACGGTTATTCAATAAAAGTTTCCTGTCTGCGCATGATATATCGTACGCAGTGAACTACGATCACAAAGAACATTTTTCTCGACGCGGCTATTTACATACTTCGTCGATTAACTGTGAATCTATGTGAAACAAACGTTGCCAGTCAATTTAACAAATTAAAAGTTCGTTAAATTCTTGGTTATTCTCTCTCTCTCTCTCTCTCTCTCTCTCTCTCTCTCTTTCTCTTTCTCTCTCTTTGAATGAGTTCCAGTGTTTCGTCGTTACGATCGAAGTGGTTTAAGAGATGATTCATTGCATTAACGGTTCGCGTTCATTGATTCGGCACCGAGATTAAGATTGCGATATTAAAACGTGATAAATGATATACGATGTCAGTTTGTTGTAACGAGCGTGCATATCGAAATTATTGTTTGTGTGCACACGTGACGCTGCATCAACGTTTACGATACTTGTTAGTTGGATAACGATAATGTCAGAATCGCTGACAACGTACAGGCGTATGTGCAACGTGTCTTGTAAAAAGCTATACCGTAGTGAGGTGTAGAAAAAATTGATAACGCGAATTGCTTATCGCGATTTTTATTCATAGTTTATAAATATAGTTTATGTAGAATGGGAAGTACACTTGTAAAGGTAAAAACATATAAACTTCAACGCAGCGTTTGTACACGATCACGCTACTGATATGTACACAGTTGAGCTAATTAATTATAGTAGAAGAGAAAGGAAAAATTATGAAATTAATATTGAAATAAATATACTCGCATATTTGATTTTAGAATTAATAAGAAAGATCGCATGCGATATTAAAATAATATTTTGATATTAGAAGCATATTGATTTTAATCGAATGTTATAATTTCATAATAAATGCTCAAAGTAATTTTACATCGAAGGTAGATTATCTCTGTCTCATCACTGATCTAACAACTGTGAATATTTTAAGCGTACAACTAATTAAACAGAACTACGGAGTTGGTTATATTTTGTAAACAAAATTTCGTCGTGAACTCGTGGAAAAGTCAATTTACAAAGATCCTGATTGCGAAGTTTACAGTTCAGCATTTTTGAAATTAAAGATATTATCGTAGTATAAATATACATATACTACACTGAATAATTTTATAGAAAACATATATAATAATTTTAAAAGCTGTTCGAGGATCAATTGGGAAAGATAATACTTTTCATTAATTCATTTATTTAAATCTACTGTTTTAACATTTTCATCAATTTTATTAACAGCTTACAGTACACGTTCATCTAAATGTTTGAAAATGATATCATTTACTCGTATCGCGCAACTTTCACGTGACCTTTCGAGGTAGATTTATAAATTGAAAAATCAATTCGAAAGACGGTTAGGAAACTAAGAATTTCAGTATTTGAGTTTTCCACGGTACTAATTAACTTCGATCATAACAAAATCAATATTGTATTTTATCACAGACATCGTATGATACTACTCAATCGATAATATATCATTGAAATAAAACAAACACGACAATAGCAGCCTCTTTGCGACGCAATCGACTAAATAAATTTTAATTTCCTGGAAAACCGCTCTCTATCTGGGCTCATTCGATCTTTTGAAAGGACAAAGCGAGAAGGACGAGCGAGAGCGTATTGGGGGTCGTAGGTGAACCCGAGGTTCCCTTCTGCATCGGGTCCGGAAACCATTTTAATCTCCGCTATAAAGTTCGCAATCATCGCGAATAAAAGGGCGCAGATTATGACCTAAAATCGTGCTTTGGTGTTCGCGGCTTACCCTCGGGGAAATTAAAATGTCTCAATGGCCGTTGGCAATTCGTGACAACCGAGTTACTCCTTCTGACCATCAGAACTTTCTTCGGGGTCCTTCTCCTTTTCTTCTTACTTCTTCGTCCACTCCTTCTTCCACGGTAGTAATAAGCAAGAGATATCGGGCGAGTTCGGAGAATGAGTGGGTTTTCCATTGGAGAACTCGCACGTTGCTCGCGGGGTCGATAATCCTCAAACGTTTCCTGTTGGAAGCAAAAGGGAACTGGCGAAAGACTTTCAAACTAATGGCAAGGGCTCAACTTTATACTCGGTCGCTCTTTGTTCGTACAAAGCGGAAGAAAAGTGGAGACGGAAAACTTTGCCATCCTGGACCATCGATTTCTGCCCATGTCACTGCTTTCCGCTGCTACTCACGCTCCTATTTTTATTCCTCCCTTTTATTTCGTGCTCTTCTACCTCTTCCCCTTTAGCATAGCACACGCCTCACGCGTCTCTTAACCTCACTCCAGCTGTTTTATATGCTCTTTCTCTTCTCTCTTTCATCCGGTATAACCGTGTCGGACAATGATTCACGGTGGAGCGAAAGAGTCGAATAAGAAGCAGTTCGCGTGGCATTGATATAGCCGCTACTTAAAACGAATATCGATTGCAGCCTGCTTTTTCCTGTGTTTCGAGTTTCCGTGCTAGCGACGCGTCGGGGTGAAGGACGCGCTCGTCAAAAATTCTGATGCCACCCAGATGATATACGTATACGTGATGGCCCATGCAGTAACGCCCACGGGATACGATATGCCATTGAAGCTGGGAAGAAATGGAAAACACACCGTGGGACAAAGTGAAACGATACGGGAAAAATGAAAATTCTAAGATTAATTCTATGCATTTTTATAGATACAATAACGATACGTATATAGAGAGTGTAATTATATCTGTTTTAATTTATCAGGTTTCGAATTTTGTGGTAATCGTAAAATTGAATTTCGGTATAATTTTGTGGAGAATGAAAAGAAAGCTTGATTGATAGATCGCGTATTTACATGAATTTAGCGAATTTGAAATGCAAAAATACACAAAATGTACGTAATAGGCAAAAAGTGTATAAGATATTCAAAGTAGAGTACTCGTTACAATACTTAGCAGGTGACGTTGATTAATCTCTGCACAAGTTCCGTTTCTTCTACTGTGACGAAAGGTTTGCTTAAGTATCCAATTTATCGATCGACATGGACGAAAGTATGGAATTCTATCTAAAAAAGAGCCGTAATTTCACTTTTCCAATTCATTGATACATAGAAATGCGTCCAATTAATTCTAGAATATTTTTCATTCTACAGTTTTGACTGATTGAACATTTTGTTGACTCCTTCGACGATTCGATAAAAAACTATTTTGAACAAAATTCTTAATAACCTTTCATGCTACACCGCGTGATCGATTCAATATTACCTAATATTTGTTGAGAACATTTTTCTATTAGATTGTTTAAAAAATCGTGACGAACGTTACCCAGCATATTCTCTGTGCTATTTCATTTTACCTTATGAAATTTCTATTTGATTTAAAAAATATATTCTCTTTCAATCATGCAGGACACTCTGTGTATATAAAAGCAGTTAAAATATTTAGAAAAAGGAATTTTAATGACATAAAGTTCAAATACCTGAACAAGTTTTATAGTACATTGTTGATAATATACATACATTCCCAATCATAAGTATTAGGGTATTTATTGGTATTTGGTATAAATCGAATGCTTTCTTCAGTGCTTTTATTGTTTAATTATTTTGTTAATTTATTGTCTAAAATATGTTATTTCGTTCTTATCATATGTGTTTTATAACGTAAACTATTAAGTAAAATAAAGAACTTTCTTCTCTCTTTTGGAGTTGACAATGTATGTAAATGCACACATATGTATGTATTTATATCGTACGATGTATAAAATTTGTTTTAATTTAATAAGATCATGAAAAATATAAGAAATAATTGTTATATAGAAAAAAATTGGAATTTTCCATTATATACGCTACTTGAAGTTTAATATTTTAATTTTTTTGTGCAGATAATATTTATGTATAGAGTTATATTGATTATTTATATATGTTTTGTTATATTTATGTTTTATGTAAAATAGCTACGAAACATGAAAATTAAAATTTCTAAATTAAAATTCGTTACTGCAATAGAAATATTCTCGTGACATAATTTACGCACCTGCAATAGGCTTTGCATGCTATTTTAATCAGAAATCTTAAAATATTTATAGATGTCAAGCATTCTTCAGAAAGAAACGTACATAACTCAACTGATAAAAAGATATAAAAGCATAGATAAAAATATCAGACAAACTTCAACTTATATTCACTGCACAGCAAAAGTGAATCTGTATTAAATAAATATTCTTTCGATAAAATTCTGTTTATATCGAAATGTTTGATAAAATAGGACATTTAACATTATATATGGTCTTATTATATATGGTCATTATATATGGATAAAATGGTCTTTTATTCGAATAAAAGAACTTTTAAGAACTTCTATTTATATCACTGCAATATTTATTTATATCTTTATTTATGTTTTACAAATTTTTATACCGTTCACTTTAAATGATGAGAAATGTTTTAATTAAAATATTTTTATTCACACCTACGAGCTTGTATTTTCGTAAAGTTTTGCTTGCGTTCACGCTTTTAATAAAACGAAATGAAATAAAAATTGCGATAAATTTTAAAAAATATTATACACAGAGAGAAAATATTTCTCTTGTTAGGATTCCGACAATAAAGATAAAAAATTCTAAATAGCACTAGCATGTGCTAGATAAAATACCAGTGCAAGAGATAGATAAACTAAAATGCGATTCATAGATCCGCCTCTATTTCGTACTAGTTAATAGGTATTTAGTTTCACACTGATTGCGCATAATAATATTTTCATTTTATTTCACCTCCCATTTATAACTGGTTATCGCGAGTGCAATTCAAATGGGGGATTACAAAAATGAAGTCGAATCAATTCTTTCTGAATATCTTAAAATAAATTTCTTTTTCTAAGGTGTTGTCATGTAACCCGGAGAATGTATTTCCATATCGTTCCACTTGCAGCCGACAATTAAAATTCCCAATTATTTGATTTATTCATATTACTCGGTTTTCAGAATAAATATTCGTCACGCGAGATATTAAAGCAAAATTACTTCTTCAAAATTAGTATATTACTTTTTGATCGTAATTTATAATAACTTCGACATATAAGGTTCCAAAAAGACCTAAAAAGTATAATAAATGAAATATGATAAAATGAGAATTCCTTAATTTAATAATTATTATTTTATATTATTTTTCAAAAATTAACGTATCATTTTTCCATGGTAATTTATAGTAACTCAGTTATAAATCGATCCATGAAATAATCAAAGAACTCGTATCAAAAATGGCTCTTGCTAAATTTTTCGCCTTTTTATATAATAATGCACTGTACCTGTTAAGAATAAATTATTACGAAAAGTGATCCATGTCCTGGCTTATAATCGAATGGAAATCGATCGGTTCTACAAAGGTTCTAATTCCACAAGTTCGCAGTTCTTTCGTAATATCATCATAAACACATCTACAGCAATTGTGTAATGTGATGAATATTTTGTTGAAAAGAAGTTGACATGTACTGAACAGTAATTTGAAATGCTACAGAATTCTTTCGTTTTCATACAGAAAGACACAAGACTAACTTGAGACTAACTAACTTGAACAAGAGTCATTTTATGATCTCTCTGTAATTAATAAAGGAAACAAATTAAACGAAAATTTATTTCAGCAATAATAAACGATAATATGAGAATTCAGTAATTTAATAATTAAAGATATTTATCGACAAGGAAATTATAATACGAACAATTCGCACAGAAAAAATTGATATTTTCCTATATTTCACTTTATACTGTTCATTACATTTTACGTAATGGTACCAATAAGTTAACACGTGTCGTGAATATTTACAAACTACAATATTAGTTACAACCAATCGAGGAGCACTTTCAAAAATCGATCTCGACTAAACTTTTTTTCTTAGAACGTTCTCATTGCAGGATAGAAATCTTTTTGATTATACCCCGTTTTAGCTGTTCTCGCGTCATTATTTGCTCCCTGTCTTCCCACTGTTCCCTTTTTCTCGAAGCGCCGTTTCTGCATTTCCTGGTTCCGGAACGTTTGAAAAAGCAACATCGAGTTTAGGGGCTAAATTGGTCTCAGATGATTTCCGAGATGGAAAAGTGGCTTCGTCCAGCAGGAAATAGCTTTTATAGGAATGGTACACGTGATTCCGTTGAACTGTAATGTAAAGCTGTTCAGAACGAGCGGGAATTCTATTGAATCGTAATAAATACCGGCGCGATTCGCTCGATCAGATCTTTAATTTCGTTCCGCGTCCTTTCCATCGTTAAAATTCAAATAAAACTGTATTGATTTCGTTGGCGTCTCCGTGATAAAGTGCTTTAATTAGCAATAAACTATGAAATTATCGAAATGGTCGAACAATAATAAGATTACGCGAAACTTTAATTAACCATTTATATACAATTTTACTATAGTCTAAAGACGCGATAACATTATTATTTTAGAGTTCATAGAGCTTACGCAACGTATTGTTTAAGTTTCTATAATTTCAGCCGTGTTTCATCGATGCATGAATCTTGTGGTTGAAGTCAGGAATAAGGTTCACATAATACGTTTAAGTTACCAAATTTTCTTGCTGTGAAACTTTATAGTAATAAATCTAATAATAATTCTATTATTAGAGTAATAATAATTAAGTAATAATAACTCTAATTGCTTATTTTATTAGCTCTTGTGATGATTAACCGTCTATGTTATAGAAAATCTTCTTTTTCCAAGACTCCCTTTTCGCTAACCTGTTAGGCTTGTGAGAAGTTACCAATGTGACAATTATTTTTAACATATCTAAAATTCGAATTTGCACCATTACGACTACTTATGAATCGTGTAGCTTTTTAAAAAAAATTCTATAGTATCAGATATCGCAGAAAGTTCGCGCTGTTCTTCATGTTTATGCATTTTTTATCAAAATATTGTCCAATTTTTTTATAGAACCCGTGTATCCTGTAACTAGGAAAATTTAAACGAATCCGCTAATAGAAATAACTTCTCATTAATACAATTCATCAATAAATATATTGCATAAGTTATCTACAATACATTTATTGTCGACCTAAATGTTAACTATTTGCTTGTAATGTAGCATTTTGAAACTCAAATTTACGTACAATGTAGACGAATAAAATTTATTTGTTCCGGCATATCAATTAAAAAACATTACTTTATGATTAGAGCTTTGGGAGTCACGAATTACTAGAATCTTTAGATAGTATCTATAACTAGTGATACACATATCATAAACTACAAATCCTGTCATAGCATTAGTCGCGTAGTATTAGCCAGGGGCATAACCCCTTGTGACCTATTTTCTGTAATGGACGATTCTCCTAAATGCCTGACTATAAGTAGCAGTTGCAAATCCCAAAACGATTGTCCACAAAGCTTTCAAGAAACATTATTATTCGTTAATCATACCACAATACCTTCATCTTTCTTTAATGTGTACATACGTGTCAAGTGCGCATTAAATTTCACCCTGTTAGCAATTAGAATTCATGTTCTAGGTCATTTGAAAGTTTTTTTCGAAGCTGCCATAGCAACCTTTCTACAATATTCCCATTGCAAGTGCAACTTGAACGAAACTGTTTTCTTATATTTATTGAAATTAATTCTTTAATGCAAGAATGTATTAATTAGAATTATTGAGTTGGCAACTAAGTGATTGCGGATTTTGTCATCAGGTGGTATTGACAAAATCCGTAATCACTTAGTTACCAACCGAATATGTTCCTTTGAACGCAGTGAAACGTTTGTTCGAAACAGTTGTTCACATTAGAAGCAGTGTGACTTAAATTTAACGATAGGAAAACGTGACTAAGAAAAGGGCTATTTACATAGAAAAGAACATTTAGGTGGTATTGACAAAATCCGCAATCACTTAGTTGCCAACCCAATATGTTACTGCTACTACTATATTCTGGTTATTATTATTTATCTAGTATTATATATAGAAATAAATTAATACAAAGTAGTATAGTATGTACAAAATATGTAATTCCTGACACATGTAAACGGGTGGGTGTGTAAGTTTCAAGTTTAAATACTATAACAAATACCTTTTCATTTATAATAAGGAACTTTATATAATATTCTATATATTTTTGCGTGTATCTTGTACATTTTTCTACACTTAAATTTCCCACAAACGCGTACCGATTCTCAGTTTACTTATAATTTATCATTTGAAGATTCACCGATGGTATCAGCGAATCGTTGTTCAAATTGACTTAGAATTGATTTCACCAGAGTTCGGAAGATTGAAAGAACG